AATTTATTTATTAAAAACTTTTATTTTCTTTTAACATCAACCTGTCGACATATAATTTAATATTAATCGTGATTTTCTATCTATGCTTAGTATTTATAATTTGTGTTGTCAACAATTATATTCAGATACTTTTGAGCGAGACCAAGAAAAGTTAAAGATGGCTGAAAATATTTCTGACATAAATACTGAGGATGAAGATTATATGAAAAAAACACGGCATGATAGAGCTGCTGCAAAAAATTTAACTTCTGACGATGAATCTGTCGATATAGAAGTGAATTCTTGTTCATTGTCTCCTTTACCAGATCCGAAAGAATTTTCTGAATCTCAAAAATTATGTTATTCGGAAAAACCTGCATTGATTTTGGCAACCTATGAAAATCCGATCATTTCCGAAAAAGACAACATCGTTATAACTGAAAAGAAAAAATTGAAGATAATTTGACAAGAAGTGATTGCTAAACCTAAGAAAAAAGAATTAGAAAATAAAAATCAAAAAGATTTTATCACTGAAGATAATGAAGATTTTAACACCGAAAATCATTCCATCAATAAATGTAACAAAGAGTTAACAACACATCTAAATGAAATTAATGGAAATAAATCTCAAAAAGGTTAAATTACATTAATAGATTTTTTTAATGCAATATTTTAAAATGTAACTTAATTTTAATATTAATGATATTTTAATTTTTAGTGTTCATGGAAATTTTGAGAAAAGTAAATCGCGTCTTAGTTGAAATGACATACATCGATAGAAGGCTAAGTAGATTAGAAAATAAAATAGACTATATTACAAATAAAGAAATTAATGTAAATAACGTCGAAGAAGCTTTCGTTTTCGACACTATTTCTTCAGTGGATGAGCTGAAATTGTTTGAAGACAATTTGAAAAATGAAGAATTTTTTACGAAAATGGTAAATGTTTATTTCTATATATAATAATGATAAATTATGTCAAAAAGGGGGGGAGGGGGGCATATAAGGACTACCTTTACCCAAGGGAGCTCAGTATCAGAGTTCTCAGCCCTGATGATGCAAACTGCAACGTTTGCGAAACGTCGGCATATCGCTGATTCAAGACACGGCTCCATTCCGGAAGCTATACCTAGACATTGTATCAATGGCCGTGAAAGCCTCAAAATCTAGAATTATGTCAAAAGTTATATACAGTTATGTTTGATTGTGTATGTGTGTTTGATTTTGTGTGTGTATGTGTGTGAAATATCATAATATTTATATATTTCATATATAATTATTTATATATAATTTTTATTTTATTTATTTGTATATAAAATGAAATATAAATTTTTATTTTAATAGTTCGCATATTTCATAGCAAATTATTTCAGAAAGGCTTCTTGAAATTGAAAGGCGGAACAAATCTACAAGACATGATAAAAAATACATTTAAAGCATTAATGAAGGACGAAATATTAATGTTATATAGTTGGAAAGGAGCTCGAGGAAAAAATGTATTCCAAAATTTCAAAATTGTTAGTTTAATCATAGGTAAAAAAAAACTTTAAAGTTTACATCGTTATATTTTGAAATTAACTGCTTCTGTTGACTCCTGTGTTTCTTAATACTGATCAGCATAAGACGAAACAATTATAAGTATCAATTCGTTATATTATGATCAGTAGAAATAATTGTATTAGAACACAACGTTAAGTCATTAGTGTTAATCACATTAGCGATTGAAATTGAGATTGAAATGAAATTTGACCATCAGAAGAAGAAAAACTAATATCAAGTTCAATAAATTTTGCTTTGGTTAAATCTCAATCTAATCTCAATTTCAATCGCTAGTGTTATTACAGCTTAAGTCAATGTATGATGTATATAATATTATAAATTAATATGCATAGCTGTTGTTCGGTTACACAATGCAAATTCAACCGAGGAAGTTATAATAAAAGTTATGACAAACTGGATAGTTCAAGCTCCTGCACGTGTTCGAAGAATAGCGTAAGTGAACTACTTATTATATTTATTTTTGTTTAAAAATATTAATAGTAATTGTAAAAATTCTCTGTAATATCAATTAAGGTGTTTTTTTAAATGTTATTTATTCCTAATAATCTTTTATGTTATCTATTTTTTTATTATATTAAAGATATATACATATTCAATCAAATATTGAAACATTTATTGTATCTTGCAATTATAGTTTTTTCTACAAATTTTAATTATTTATATTTTTTGTATTTTCATATATATATATATATATATATATATATATATATAACTGTATTACATATTAAATATTACATTAATTGATTGTTTCAGAAACAAACAAAAAAACCAAAATAATCAGGATGATCCTGATCATCTTGATCAAGTTCAAGTTCCACATGTTCAAGAAGAAAATATTAATATGTAAGAAAATCTACGTACGTTATATCATCATAGATTCGTCTTTTTTATTTATTGATATTCTGGTATTTTTCTTTATTTACTATAACGAAAAGACGTAACATATATAAATGTTTTGTTTCTCAAGTTTATGTAAAATCTTATAATGATTAAATTAATTTATGCGTTGAAAATGCTAAAAAGTATTTTATTTGCGTTAAATCATAAAAATATGAAAATAAGTTTAACTTTTGTTTTTAAAAATGCTAAAAGGTATTTTATTTGCGTTAAAACATTATAAAAATGTAAAGTGAGTTTAATTTATTTGTTCTTAAAATACGAAAACATTCCATTTTTGTATTAAAATGATATTGAACAATTTGTATTAAAAATACTGTATCTATAAAAATACCGTGTGTTATATGTCTGCATTTTTTTCAAATCTTTTATTTTATTTAGTTTTAGAAACAACTATAAATATTAAGTTTACAATAATAATAATGCTTTATATTACTTTATATTATAACATATTTCCAAATGCTAATACTAATATTTTAGAAATATATTATTAGTACAAATATATTTTTATTACTTTAAACTTAACATTCATGTTTAATAATATATGCATGAATATTATTTATACATATATATATGTATATATGTATAGTATGGATATGTGAACGCATATACTGGCAAAAATAAAAATCGAAACGAAAGTCAAACGTAATTAAAGAGAGAATTGACAGAAACGCAAACGAAACTTCTAGAAGCATGAAGTAACATAACAGAGACGTTTATCTTAAAACGTTTTTTTTATGTTATGTTGTTCCAATTTACACTTCCTGGAAGTTTTATTTATGCTTCTATCACTCTTTCTTTACATTTGATTTACGCTCCGATTTTTATTTTCGCTAAGGTATATATAATATACAGTCCGTTTTAAACGTGTATTTACAATATTACAAATACGTATCAAATACATAATTTACGTATTTAACACGTATTGAATATATATTGTTATATGTATCGGATATGTATTTGATATATATAATTTGCGTATTTAACATGTATTGAATACATATTGTTATTTGTATATGTAGCAAATATGTATTTGATACGTAATGTAAATTACGTATCTAAGCGCAGACATTCATCGGTATTAAACATGTATCTGCTACACGATTCATACGTATTTCTACATATCTGCTATATAGCAATATTTCAAATTTTACGTATCTGCTATGTATATGAAATATAAAATGCTGTGCGGGTCGGATTCATCTTCAGATTTAAGTAAGAAATACTTTATTTACAAATAATATTTGTGATTGATAGATCAAAAGTCTTTTTACACATTTATTTACTGCAAGTAATTACCTCTTAAACATATACGTGTCAATATTATACTTGTTTTAGATAGTATAAGTTAGTTATGGCCAAAAGGCAACGAAAAGAATATTCTATTGACTTTAAGGAGGCTGTAATACATGCTTTGAAAGAGGAACGCTGTCAATCAGAAGTTGCCCGTTGTTTTGGTATATCTCGGCAGTTAGTGAGTGTCTGGAATCATTGACAACAAGTTCAAGGTCATGTAAATAATAAGCCTCGTCAAGGACGGCCTCGGAAAACATCTGTAAGAGTCGACAGAATTATCAAAATGATATCAGTCGCTGATCCGCGCAAATCTGCGCAGTACATTACTCGTGAATTACAACAAGATCATGGAATCAATATTCATGTTTCAACTGTAAAACGTTGACTTAAGGACCACGGTTTACTAGGTCGCCTTCCTAGCAAGAAACCTTTCATCAGTGTGCGAAATAGGAAGGCTAGGATTGAGTTTGCAAATACGCATCGTAACTGGACAGTTAAAGATTGGTCTAAAGTGTTATGGAGCGATGAAAGTAAATTCAACCTGGTATCTTCTGATGGCATAAAATATGTTCGTCGCCCCAAAAATGAAAGAAATAACCCACGGTATCAAGTACCTACTGTAAAACATGGTGGGGGACATGTCATGGTTTGGGGGTGTTTCTCCGCTAAGGACACCGGTCCCTTATTCCGTGTAGAAGGTACAATGGATCGATTCATTTATCAGGATATCTTAGAAAAACAAATGTTACCTTATACCAAGAAACATATGCCACGAAAATGGATATTATAGCAGGATAACGACCCGAAACATCGATCTAAACTAATCGAAAAGTATTTTTTAAAGAAAAAGATCAATATTTTGAAGTGGCCTAGTCAAAGTCCTGATTTGAATCCGATTGAACATTTATGGGAAGAATTAGACAGACGTGTTAGAACACAGAATTACTCTAATCAGGACGATTTTTTCTGCACTTTGCAAAATGAGTGGACGAAAATTCCCCAAAACAATATAATAAAACTTATCGAGTCTATGCCTAGAAGATGTGAAGCTGTGTTATCGGCAAAAGGATATGCAACTAAATATTAGTGTTCACTGATATCGTAACAATGTGTTTAACAAATGTTTGTCACTTTATTTAAAAACATATTACTACATAGTCGTTAAAAACTAACATGTTAAATCACTTATGAACCATGATAAAGTAAAGTTTTGTTTATGTTATATTTGTTTAGTAATTGATAAAAGTTAATTTTGTTGTTAACATGTGATATTATGTGCAAAGTTTATATTATAAAGGTTAATACATATATATTATTATTATTATTAATAAAATACTTTACAAAACACTATTTGTCAAAAAACTTTTGAGCGCTACTGTATAAGCATTATTAAATCTATTTTAATCCTAACAATCAACTAATCGTGTAATGCAATAATTATGATTGTAAAATATAGATGCAAATATGCCTTATTATGTGCAATCATTGACGACGTGACATGGTTACAATTTACGAATATTTTCAACGTCATTATCCTTTTCCGCATAAACTATTAATATTTCGTGTAGATCTGATGCAATTTTTTCATTTCGATTGTATCCCCGCTTATGGAAAAATCTTCTTTTCGTATATTCCTGTGTAAACTCATCTTTTAATTCTGCTATTCGGTCATGAGGCATGTCCTCAAAAAATTGTGTTATGAAAGAGAATAAAAATTCTGTTGAAATAATTAATAATTAATATAAAGTCAATTCTTAAACAACTTAAGTCGTGTGTCATATTAATACTTTAAACGATAATCAAATAACAGAGGAAAAATCTGTTATACGGAAATATTATTTTAGAGGTTCATACCTGGTAATTCCTGTGCGTCATTAGCAGAATAGGTTCTCTCTCGATGACTGCAGTGATGGACATTAAACCCAACACTTTTGAATAATGCTTTTAGATCTTTATGGGGATGGTCCGAATTGTGGAATTCAGGAATGAAATTATTCGCATGCTGTGTAAGCGAAAAGAAAATATTTAATAGTTTATAGAAATGAATATTTGCAAAGGGACATAGCATATAGACAATAATATTTACCTTTATGTATGACGTATATCGATCGTCTTGCGACAATTTATGTAAAATATCAAATACGTCGTGAGATATTACCATTAATATTAGCACAGTTCCGTCAGGTCGAAGTAAGCGATAGATATTCTCAAATACTTGTCTATTAAATAAAGAAGTAAGCTAAAAATTAATCTACAAAGCATAAATGAAGCATAGATTTGTCAGAATATATTAGGGTAGTTTGTATGTACGAATACATAAAATAATTAAAGTACTGATTGGTATTTTTTCTACCAACGAAGTGATATCGCTATTTCGTAAAGAAGTAAGCTAAAAATTAATCTACAAAGCATAAATGAAGCATAGATTTGTCAGAATATATTAGGGTAGTTTGTATGTACGAATATATAAAATAATTAAAGTACTGATTGGTATTTTTTCTACCAACGAAGTGATATCGCTATTTCGTTGTGTCGTCGAAATATTGAAATACATTCACTTGCGTTGGTCACATGAAAATATTTGAAAGAAAGTTGAGTGTAAAAAAATCAATCTCTAATGCACTCTAAATATCTTTCTTTCTGATGTTTTCCTAATATTCTCTAATATCTTCCTTACCGCATATCAGCGCACCAATGCAAAGCGTGAAATGAGAATACGTGATCATATTCAGAAATGTGTTTTTCAGGCAGATGTTTAGTTTGAATATCGAGAATTTCGAATTTGAGTCGTTCTTCGTCAGCGTGTAATTCCTTGGCATATTCGATCATGTCCTTCGACACATCAGTACCTTTATATACAATGCAATTAAACTATAATTTTTGTTAACATGTATTATATTTTTGCAGTGTGTTACTTTCTTACCAATGACTACCGCGTTTGGGTGGAGTGCGGGTAAGAGAGTATGTCTTGTAACGTCACCGGGACCGCAACCAATATCTATACCCTTTCCTGACATACATACTAATTCTTCTTCAAACTCCTCAAGTAAATGTTGTATGGTAGAATGTGATAGATTGTCTGTTTGGATGTATTTCCTCGGATTTACCATATTGAGTTGAAGAGAATAATATGTAAAATGTCTGTTTCCTTGATAAAATATCACCTGTTTTGATAATATGTATAAATTAAACGTCAGTTGCAACTTTATAATCCTTTCATTTTTATTAACAGATTAACAATGTATCTAGTCTTCAGATTAACAACATTTAATTTTACATCTAAAATGCTACTAAATTGTCGATTAAGATTTTCCTATTAGGAACATCTCAAGTTATAATAAATTGGTCAGAATTTATGTTATTGTGCTAATTCGAGTCTTCTAACTATTCCCTTTTGATCCAATAGTTGAACTACTATGATCAGAGTGATGTATCAGAGTGATTTTGAAGATTTTCTTTATTCTGCACGAATATTTTGACTTCTTCCATAACCATATCTATTTCGAGGTCTCTGTGGAGGTCTTCGTTACGAATGTACCACGGGGCGTTAAGTATATTCCTCAGTACATATTCCTTCTTTATTTTTAAATGTTTATATTTTTTTTTAGTTACTTTTTTTAGTGCAGGCTCACAGCTGGATTCCATGTGCCCATATGGCTTTCAATATCTTGTGTAACAGTAATTGTGTAACAGTAATTTATTATTTATTGACAGCTAGCATTTCTTTCCCATCAGTCAATACATTCATTTATATCTGAGTCTTAGATTTATATATATATATATATATATATATATATATATATATATATATATTGTTGCGCTCTGCGAAGTGCAGCCCAGGAATCTCCTTCTTTCACACTCGCGTTTACGATCACGGGAATTAAAAGTAAGACTTTTACGAAAAGAACTATGTTAAATTAATATAAAACAAACTATTACAGAGTTTTGGAAATTATATATATATATATATATATATATATATATATATATATATATATATATA